ACACTAAACACTGCGCTAATCAATATAATAATAATAATTAATCAATAATAATAATTATTTTTTTAAGCTTGTGTTGCCCCCGCGTGCACGCCTGCGTTGACTGCGCTGCAGGGCGATGAAAGGTAACCAGGCAGCAGAGCAGAAACAACTCTTTTTCTAGAAATCCAAAACAAGTAAAGCGGAATGTAAGAAAAAACTGGATAAGTGGAGCTGCATGCCAAGAGGCGGCATCCCCATGAATAAACACGAAGCAAAGGCGGCAACAAGGGGGAGCTGATCAGGCTACCAGCATGTCACATGTATATATTGCTCGTAAATTCATGTTTCGTGTTCTATAACAGATCGAAGAGTATACAGAGAAACCCATAGGACCCTCAGCAACGAACGGAAACAACAAGTCTTTAGGACAGTAGTAAAAACAACAAAGAAATGATATTTTATGGAGGCGGTTGATGGAAGCAGATATGATAGACTGAGGAAGAAGAGCAGCTTTAACTATATTTGGTGTTTTTTCTCTCCGCGCTTTCTCCAGCTTTCTCTGCTACTTCTCTCCTCCTTTGCGTGTTTCTGCTCGCCTAGGTATCATCAACCATTGGCACTCCACACATCAGGTGTACAGTGTGAAGATGAATACGGAGTTAATATGTACTGTAACAAATGTTATGATGAAAATAAAGCCGAAATATTTCAACTAACCGGGCTGTGAATATTGATTGTGGTAGCAGAATGGCATTTGCTACAGCGCCAGGCGCTGGAGCCGTGCGTCTCAACTACGATTGAGAGGTAAAGTATTTTATTTCAATTTCTTTTTATCATTTCAAGCAGTGTTTATTTTCACAAGAAAAATCGAGCGGCTTTGGATCACTCTTTTTGCTGGTTCCTTCGGCCTAGGCGATGATACCGCCAACAGTCAACGACGCGCGACGCCTCCGATCCTCCTGCATAATGCACAACCTGTTAAGTAAACATATAACAATTAACATTTTATTTTATTTGCAAATTGAAAAAAGAGAAAGCCGCAAACTGAACCTTCACGGGGGTTCTTGCAACAACAGACGGCGGCGCCCGGACTGAACCGGTGATGGCTATGTGGGCTGAGGCGAAAGTATCTGC